CTGCTGTGTTTATGTATAAAGCCAGGAACAATTTATTACCTGGTGGAATTCAAAAACTATTTAATGAAAGGGAAGGGGATACAATTTAAGGGGTCAGTTATATTTAAAAATTCATGCTATACGTACAACCAAAAAAAGATTGTGTTTCCATAAGTGGTGTAAAACTAAGAAATAATTTAAATAGTACTAGAATTGATGTTTAAACATAAGTATAAAGGTATGTGTCAATCAAGATATATGCAAAAACAGGTTTAATGATTAATCAGATGGAACATTGTGGGTGTGGGGTAAGAAGGTTAGCACTCTGTAATAATTCTTTAGTATATTACTTGTGTGGCGTAGAAGATAATTATCTATGAATGTAATTATGTAGAATGTTAACACTCTGTAATAATTCTGTAGTATATTACTTGTGTGGTGTAGAGGATAATTATTTAGGTAGAGATATTGCTTAGGACTTAAAAGTTGTAAGATGATGTCATGGGGTAGGACTAGATAAGTCTAACTTCTTCCTACTCCGTTCAAGCATGTACTAGGTATAAGTAAATTCATATTGGATCATTATTGTTGGATATGTGTGAAATTACATGTGTTGACATATCAACTGTTTTACATGCTTGAAAGAATAAATCAAATCAAAAGATTACCCATTCAGCAGATACTGAGCAACCTTAGCATTAATTTGGAGATGTGTCTCTGACCTCCTAATCAATGTCAGTGAAAATTTACTCTCCTTAATGCTCTGTTTTGGTCTTCACTAACCCCTGCTGAAAACATCAGGCTTTCAGCTATTAGCTGTTCTCTAACTTTATTATTTGGGTAGGTCATGTGCAGTGGGTTTTTGGAATCTGTTCTTTCTATACAAATCAACTAAGTTGCAGCTGAAAAACAAAGACCTTTAGCTGAAATGCACAAAAACACTCTGAGAGACTGAGTTGGGGGATATTTCTCTGTGGGATTATCACAATGAGTTTTCAGTTTATTTAAATGTCCTAGCATAAGATCACGATGACCCCTGTACAAAATGTACAAGACAAGGGAAATGAAGTAGATGAGACTATCTTTCAGGTATAATATTTTTATTTTTATTTTCCAGATGCCAGCATCCCTGAGAAAGTGTAAAATGCAGAATGTCTACACAGCCCCATCAATGAGCTGAAACAGATATTCTGCAAAGCAAAACCCTGCACAGCTGCTTTCTCTGTTTTAAGCACTGAGAGGAGAGAGTGCCTCCGTCTGCCTTGCGAATCTACTGCAGGGTGTGTGTACAGCTGAAAGCTGTACTTTGTCAGGAGTGATGATTGTTTATCCTTTGACTCTAATATCTGTGAATCCCAGGAAAGGGAGAGCACTTTGATCAACAGGCTTTTGGCATAATTTCAGCTTGAAAAACATAGGAAAGTAAATAAACATAAACATATAATCAAAGGTTTGCAGGTGTGGTTGCATATACACAAAGTATTAACTTAAATCTGCTAATCTTCTATGATGATCACCTTCCTATGAGGTCTGTAGGCAGTGTGTGTTATATTAACTCTGGAAATCTGTGACAACTTCCCATCCCATTCAGAATCATTCACAATGATACATACACCCAAATCCTACTAGTAAAAACATTAACAATATTCAACAGCCATTAGCTAGTGTGGCTAAGTGCCTGTTAAAAATATCCCAAGGATGGTTGGCACCATGGCAAGCCTGACCCCCTTGGACTCTATGCAGTCATCTCGAAACAGCCCCTGCGGTGCGTTTGCATGTCTCTCACCCTGCGGATGGACTGGATCTGGGGGTTGTGGGCTCCCCACTGATTACAGTGCTTGTAAGGACCCATTTCAAACACATACTGGTAGCCACGGTAGCCAGGGTACTGGTAGCCCACCCAGCTGCATGGGGGAAGTAGAGAGAAACAGATGTGAACCATACAGCTCTAGTTGTGTTGACTAACAGCTGTGCATATTTTTAGTTTTCATGCCATTCTGATGGACATAGAAATCAAGAGGGAACTTCAATCTGTATAAATATACTGCTAGTCTTACTATACAAACAGTATTATATCAATGAAGCTTTGGTGAAATTCAGCTTGGATAAGTACTGTTATACACATCCAAATGGTTTCTTGTTTAAAACAGTATGTTCATTTCTCCGATGGTTAAGCCACCACATCCTACAGTACTGACTAGAGAAACAGCTTACGTTCCCCCGGTGACCTGAACGCTGGCGACACGGTCCTGGAAGCCATAAGACCACAAGCTTGGAATATCCTCATCACACACTTCCATCTTACGGCCCTCAAAGTTTGTACCTTCGTACAGGCAAATCTTGTGGTCCTGGGGATCCTACAGTATGATACACACATATAACCTTTAAGTTCAGTCACTGTATACACTTTTCATACATTTCCAGTAGATCTTGTTGTTGGTGCAGCTTCTGGATCATATCTGTCACAGGTACAGGGGTGGATCTAGAACATTTTGGGCAGGGTGGCCAGGCTGGGGGACCCAGACTCACAGGGGGGTAGCACATTTGAAATAAATGTAAAAAGTCAGTTAAACCATTAGTTCTATGAAGTAATAAACCATACATGATTAAGAATCAAATTCTTTATTTGGTGTAAAAATGAGACATGCAGTGCTTCTTTTAGCTAAATTTGGTTACACTTCTTATTTGCTCCCAGCCGGGGACATTGCTGGTGCACAGTGGTCCCCTCCCAAGAGATGAATCATGCCAAATGCTCCACAACAACACAATCAGAGAAATGAATGCAAATGCATGCATGATATAAAATAAAACTAATTTGACCAATATCAATTATAAAGCACCAAAAAATGTTAGTTGTACTGTATTTAAGGCAACAATTTGTCATTGTTTTTCATTCTTCATTCATTAACAAGCATCACATTTAGACTTTGGCAGGGGTGGCAAATCATATTCTGGGCCATCCATGGCTTTGCCTATGCACAGATATTAGCCAGTAAAGAGATTAAAAATGACAACTGTCCAGTCAGGACTGCTATTGTGAAGTAATCATTATTATATTACATTATTGTGATGTAACACTAATTATGGATTTGAACAGAAATGTTGTTTGAAAAGTTAAGAATAAACACCTTGAGGAAAACTCGATACTCTGAAAAATATTTTTCACTCTAAAAATAATCGAACATAGCACAGAAAATGTCTGCTAATCAAAGCTGTAATCAAAAATACTGAGCCTATAAATACACATAACCATAAAAAGCATTTTCCTCTGTGCCAGTAAAAAATGGATGAATATGAGATATGAGGTGCAAATACAACCAGATAACAACAATACAGATCAGCACTTACGGCCACAATAAACTAGAAATGAGGCATTAGAAACCATTCTCACCGTTCGGATGGGCCTCACCGACATGAAGCGGTCACACCTGTAGCTGTTGGACCAGGTATCCCAGCGGGGGTATTCTCCCTTCTCCAGTACGAACATCTCACCAGTCATGTTCTGCTGTTCATAACCCACCCAGCTTGACAGATACACAGACAGATATTTGTCTTCTACTTGGCTGGGAAAAGCTATGCAGTGTTGTAACACATATTTGGATGGCAGGCTGTGCAACTTACGGTCCACACTCTACTCTGATGGAGCCGATTCTGTCAAAACCCTTGTCACACAGGTTACGGCACTCTCCAAACAGGTCCATCCTACGGCCTTGGAAGTTCTCATATTCATAGAGGTATATCTGAAAAGCACCACAAGCTGAGTACATTTATGTCTGAAGCGAAATATTATCAATGCATTATTTTTATTTTTAGTCAATAGCGGTACCTTGTAATTGTGCAGCCCAATGGCAGAGTGGCTGCCGATGCTGCCTTGAGCACCTGAGTGAGACATGATCAGATCTGTAGAGAGAAGGAGCGCAGTCAACAGAGATCTAACTGGTGCTATGAGGGGGGTGATTGCTGTTTCTTCACTGCTCTAGGGCACCAAGTGTGGTGTGTGAGCCCAAGAATTCCTTTTGCTGCCACTGAATGGTTACTTTAGGTTACATATCACTATCACACCTTAAGGTTTTGCTTGATAAAGTCCATCCCAGCAGCCTTTTTGGAAAATCTCACTATCCCCCTTAACATCCAAGCAGGGTTAGATGACCTTAGAGTAGAAACTTACAGTTACAATTTCAGGCTGAGATGCACCAAGCTTTGGAAAAAGTGATGGGTGCAGGTGGTGTGAGTGAGGATATATATATATGTATACACTCACATCTATCCCAAGTGTATAGAGAAAAGATTCTGAGTTCCCATTGGCTGTGAACTTTTTGGAGTATGGTGTGGGGTCAAAGGTCACACTGCTTATCTGTGGAAAGTCGTGCTGACTCGACTGCTTGTTTTGTTGTCCTGCACCATTGTGGAAGACCAGGGACAGCCACTGTCATCAGCAGAAAGCTTGTCCCACCCCACCCACCACACACATGCTTGTTTTCATTCCTTGTGGAGACCTTACACTGGCTTATATTCATTTCCTGGAGACTTAGATTAACCTTAACCATAACCACTACTTGCCTAACCATAACCTCACCTTAACATTAAACCGAGATGTTCCCCTAAAATTCAGTGATTTTCATGGTGGAAACTAGCATTTGGTCCCCATGAGGCAGGCCAAGGCCCAATAATGTGAATGTGTAAGTAGGTTTTGTTCCCCACAGTGTAAGCAATACCAGGTACACACGCACACACACACACACACACACACACAGTTACTTTTGCACATTCTGTCCTTCACTTTCTTTCTAAATTCTTTTTCTATTTCTTTATCCCTCCCTTTTTTCATTTTCCCTAGTTTCTGACTTTCACAACCACATTCTCTCTCTTTCTCTTGATCCTTGGTGCAGCTGGTCCAAGCCTTTGAGCCCTGTGTATGTAATTTGCTGACTACAGGAGCGGCATCTCTCTATTGTTCAGACAGGCAAGCACCGGACAGCTGCGGATTATAGGCTGAACTCATGCACACACATCTCACATCACCCCACCTACTGTACACACTTACATACATACACGCCTGGTGGCATGCACACACTAACAGATTATTTAGTTGTTGTTACATGTCATGTGACCAAAAAACCACAAATATATTAAATGTGTTTTCAATTTCTATATGCAAAATTAAAACATGCGCTTTTTATGTGACTGCTTTCTCTGTATTCTAGTAAATGATTTTACATGTAGGGAATCTACATCTATATCTATATTTGCCTGTGGATCCCTCATATCTGTGGCAAAATGTATATGTAAACAAAAGCTTGCAAAACAAATGAAATAGAATAGGATACTGTAATTTTCATCTGAAGTACATTTCATGCAGCAGTTATGGTACTCAGAGGCTGTTGGGAAAATATTCACAGTATGACCTTATGAAATAGCATAGTGCCATCAGTTGATTTGGTAATGCGCAGACAATACTGATGAGACTAAGACAAAACATCTGACATGACGTTTACATGTGTGTGACCACTGTAGTAGTGTTTAAGTTGTTCATAGTAGAATAAGGGAAAGGTAAATATAGCAGCATGTACAACAGCATTAGAGCATTAGTCTGTATATTAGTGTTGTTATAGCTAACAAAATCACCTGATGGAAAACGTCAACACTGCAGCTCCTATTAAATCTCTGGGTGTGACTCAACTGTCAGTTTGCTCAGACATAGAACTAGACCTATAGATGTTTAGGTCTACATCCATCAAGCTCTCTCTCTCTCTCACACACACACACGCTCATTACTGAGCTATGATCTAAGCTTCATTCTAAACACAAGAAGAGATGCTTTTAAATACATATTAACCTTAAATAGGAATTCAAATTGATAACATACACGGTATAGTAATAGTAAAACACACTGAAAATGTTTACATTTGCTCTCTACTGTAAAGAGATTAAATGAGTTTTTGTAATAAACTTCAAACAGGTTTATCGTTTCAAATCATTTTTACAGTAATTCCTCATCTACTCAGACTAGATAAGGCATTTGTACTGTAGTTTTGTAATAAAGTTATAATAATTGCACAAAGGTTTTATAATTTAGAAAGCTAAGTGAAATGCTGTGAAAACAGCTCTGCTGAAAGACATGCATGAGTTGTTTGATACAATCTTCTGTGAAATGCACTGTCAGTGTACTCTTACAGTATTATTGGGCTATAATTAACATTTGTTTTACTGCCGCAAAGAAAGAACCTTACATCAAATGGTTACATTACACAGAGTTATACTTTATAATACCAAGGCATAGAACCGCTTGTTTATTAGACATGTTAAGGAGCCCTTATTTTATTTTTTCTTTACAATTGAACAGTAAAAGTTTTTTCTTTAGCACCAGAGCCCCTGGCATGTTTTATGATCTGTTTGTTGATCCAGGCTGTGTCCAGCCCACTTGTCATGGACCCTTTGGAACTTGTGCCTATCTGCACTGGGCACAGTGCCCTCCATCCAGTCTCACTGCACCTCAGCGCTGAACAATGACCGGACCAGCAATGTGCTGACTCTGAGCCTGGCCCACAGGTCCAGCTGCTTTTCAGCACCAGCATGTATAAATAGGTCCATTTAGTCTGGGGTCAGGGCATCGTTTCTGTGGAGCTCCCAGGAGAAACTGGGGAGCCAGTCAGGTAATTGGACCACTGTCACTATACGTTTCTGTGTCTTTTGTCTTTGTTGATTATGATGATACATGTATAAATTAAGATCATGCAAGCAAATGCACAGCCATAGTGACCGTGCACTGAGAGAACAAATATGCTTTGTGCCTGCAACAGCTAACCAGAGCATGTAGTTCAAGAAAGGTTTCAAAGCTAAATGCATGATGTGCAGTAGGTCACATGTTTTCTTATGGTCTAGATTCTTTCTGCTGAATGAATTGGTACACTCATGCTGTAACATCAGGTAACAGACTTTCAGATCTATTTCAGAAACATGCATACAGAAAAATAAGAACATCTTAAAGATTATCTTTCATCCTGCCTGCTACATGGCAGTAAATGATAATCATTAGCTTGAGGCACACACTGGTTGATGTGGAGGAGGAAGCAGGTTGTGTTTGAACTGTGCCGTTTTCCTTAATTAGACTATAAATATTAACACTAATAGGTTTCTCCCTGCTCTCTAAAGGTAAATCTGCACCGATATACACACTACCATGGCTCTGAATAATCCCAACCCACTGGGACCATGGAAGGTGAGTTGGATGTCTTGTCATGGATGATTAAGAAAAGGAGATTACTTTTTTTTATTTCATGCCTGGCTTGATGATGTCAATGATGTGTGTGTGTCTGTACATACATTGTGTGTATGGCATGTGCAAACTACATGTATACATTTGTGTGCTCTCCAGATCACAATTTATGACCAGGAGAACTTTCAGGGGAAGCGTCTGGAGTTTACCTCAGCCTGCCAGAACATCATGGAGTGTGGCGTTAACAATATCTGCTCTCTGAAGGTGGAGTGTGGAGTGTAAGTTGAACACAGAGCTCTGCAGAAGATTTCACACTGCAGAAACGTACCTGTGGTACAGATGGTGGTTATGTATATTTTTAATGAACACATTTGGTGCACATTCACTGCTTAGCGATGCTTGGCTGACAAGCTACCTGAATGTCTTCAGAGATATGATGTAGAAAATGTCTGTGTGATATCTGATAGCCAGTCTGTTTTCCAAGTGTCCCCATGAGCCAGTAATGCTGTATGTATCTCTATATATGTCTACTTGCTGGGGACAGCTGGGCAGGATATGAGCACTCCAGCTTCTGTGGACAGCAGTTTGTGTTGGAGAGAGGAGAGTATCCTCACTGGGAGTCATGGAGCGGCAGCAACGCCTACCACATTGAGAGGATGATGTCCTTCCGCCCCATCTGCTCAGCTGTGAGTCTCTGTCTCAAACCAACAACAACTTCTCATTTGTCTCCAGAAAAGATTTTGAGTTAAAATGCAATAAATGTGACTCATCGAATTAGCTCACTCAGGATTAGACCACAAACTAGACTTGTGCCAGCTGCTGGTTGCAGCTACAAATACACTGAAGTTCACTCTGATCTTACAGTATGTAGTATTAGTTTAGTATTACATGACAATTTTTATAATGGTTAAAATTCTTCGGCTTTCTTTCTGACAGGTAGGCGTTCTTTGAACTCTCTGAACTATGAAAACCAAGTCAAAACCACATTACAGTTACCCTGTGAAAAAGTTTGTAGCAACATTTAATCCTCACATATTAGTATCTTCAGTGTCAGTCTTCAGCAAAAACAGAAACCAAAACTGTTTCATGTCTGGTTCTGATTACAACTGTAAATGAACGATACCATGTGCACTGCTACAAAAAAGGTTTGGTTTCTGCTTCATTATTGCCATCTCACATCTCCCACTGCTTTCTACAAAACCAACACAGAGTATCTGGTGCTGTTTTATGTCTAATAACGCTCACTGGACTACATCGTGTCCACACAGAACCACAAGGAGTCCAAGATGGTGTTGTTTGAGAAGGAGAACTTCATAGGACGTCAGTGGGAGATAAATGATGACTACCCGTCTCTGCAGGCCATGGGCTGGGGCAACAACGAGATTGGATCTATGCAAGTTCAGAGCGGCGCGTAAGTCTCATAGATAAAAGCAATTATCTCATTATAATCAATTTCAGCAGTTTCAAATGATTGGCCTAACCCGAATTTGTCTGTCCACCTTTCATATTTTAAGTGTGAGAGTGAGCTACATGCTTGCAGTGATAGGCCTATATTCAGTTTCATTTCATATTATGCAGCCTACATTCCCTTACTGTGTAAACCACATATTAATCATTGCTTTCTTCTGCATGTTGACCCCTCCCTCTCTCCTCACCCAGCTGGGTGTGCTACCAGTTTCCAGGTTACCGTGGTTACCAGTACATCATGGAGTGTGATCGTCATGGCGGCGAGTACAAACATTACAGAGAGTGGGGCTCCCATGCTCAGTCCTTCCAGGTGCAGTCGCTGCGTCGAATCCAGCAATGAGACCCGCGGCCTCCTTGCCCCACCTCTTACTCTTTACCATTTCCACCTCCTCCTCTTCCTCCCCTCACTCAACCATGGCAGCATCCTCTGGTGCTTTACCATCAAGATGTTTTAGAACTTTCCTTTTGTTGTGTTGCCAAATGAAAATAGAGAGAAATGATGGGAGGAATTAAGGAAAGTGATAAAAGCCACTGAAGAGAAGCCTCTGACTGAGGCCCCATGAGGGGAAAAGAGGAGGGAGTTTAAAGGCCTTGTGGTGGCAGCAGGGTGATGATGTCACTCAGTCACTGCTCCTCATATTTGAGGGCAAACATGGTGCTGCCAGTGATCAATAAAGAATGAACAGGCAACTTGACATATACAGAAATACAAGAGTCTGCTGCTAACCTTCAGCTCAGTTGTGATTTCTTTTGATTCGTTTCTTCTATGTTGTTTCATGTTGCAGTACATTTAAACAAAAGCTTCTCAATTTCCAGAACCCTAACAATTGTTTTTGGATGTGAAATAGGAAAAAGCGGCTCACAAGTCCATTTGAGGCTTGTATTTTGTGATGTACAGTATATTGACTTTAAGAAGTCTTACAAAAAATATTCATTTTGAAATATGAATATGATGCACACATGAACATCACCAACATGTAGTCAGTCCTAAAGGTTAGTTTTTGGAAATCGTGAGAATAAAATCCACTGATGTCATAGTAGCAGACAGTAAACACTTATAAATGTAAATCAGCAATTAAAGCAAAATGCAAACATACCAGGTGTACAGAAGTTGCTCCACCCATTCACTCAGTAAGAGTTGTTGCATAAAGTTAGTGATAAGTTAAAAGCATAAGAGCACTGATAAGAAAACC